AAATTATATAAAATACTTTAAAAAATTATAAAACAAATTAGATTTAAACATTAGTTATAATCATATAATTTAATTGCAATATCTACAAAATTGTATATAATAATAAATTAGTTAATTAATGTTTATTATTGTCCGTTACTAAAGAACTTATTTATCTAGGTATAGAAAAACACCATTTATTGATTTAAATTCATGTTTACTAATTTCTTATATCTACAGCAAATAAAGCATTTACATAAAATAAAGTTTCTTTCCAAAACTCTTTTTATTAGATATACTAAATATAATTCAATACCTAATCCAAGACTTATCTATAATAGAAATAAATTCCTTCTATAAAGACTGTCCTCTTTTACATTAACAGTCAAAGTGTGAATAATTTCTAAAAAATGTCTCGTCTATTTTTTAATGCACAAAACACTTGTGCCATGTTAGCTTTGTAAAATATACAATTTTTGTCATCAATAAACTGTGGTTTTAGCACAATAAATGACATTTCCTTGTCACGTAATTGCTTCGAACAGAGGAAAATTGAATTGTATTACAAATATCAACATATCTCAATCCTTATTTACTATGCAAGGAAGGATGAGTGGACATTATTGTTATTTTACTAATACATTTAAGAGATGTCACATTTCTTTTTTTAATTGAATGCTTCATGGCAGACTCGTAATAATTTAATAATTATGTTTATGTATATAACAATTTTCAATTCTTATCTATATGTATATATTTTTCCCATTTTTATCTATATGTATATGTATATATGTACATATAACTTACGTATTTGTTAGACCTGATTAAAACACCCATAAACTTATATTGTTATATAAAAGTAATACATTGGACATCTGTTTTATGGTAAAAGTACTGTCTTTTGGTAGTGTATTTCTCCAATAATTTCTTGTATTCTTTTATTTAACTTGTCTGGTTGGTTTCAGAATTTTGTTGTCTTCTATATAACGCAACATTATTTTCTGTATAATCCATTATACGACGTTGACATTGTCTTACATATTGTTGTTGTTTGTGATAAATCTTGAATGCACCTTTTATTGTTATAAATGCTATACCTCCCTGCATAAAAGCCCATATTTTTACTAATATTTAAAATAAGTCTTTGATTAATAAAAAAATATATATAATACGTACAAGTAATGTCCTTTGAAAATTGGAGTGTATACTTTCAAAAAATATTTTGCCACATATGCTGGCAATACTAGGTAATAAAAGTGCACCACAAAGGATACGTGTTGCCGATACCGGGTCACTCATAGGAGGTACATCGTCAGATTGTGCTCCATCATCTCTACAATAACTAAAATAATTAGACGCTTATAAATGTAAAATGTATAATGTATTTATTTCAATCTTTATCCTTTATCAAATCTTTTTATCCTTTTTCATACATACCTATTTGGCAAGAAGTACCTCAAAATAGGAACCTTACATGCATGACGTCTCAAAAGACTAAGTGCTTGGTCTTCCCATCTTAACATTTTACCCAAAACCAACATTATTGGAATAGTTGGCAAGCCAACTAATAATACCAAAGGGTCAGCCTGTTCCATCATAGCTAAACCATCTTTATGACCAACTACTTGCATTACAGTTACTGCCCCATATGTTACAGCTGTCCAATATATAGATGCAGCAACTATACTAGCTGCAATATACGGGCAGATACGGAAGATTACACCGTCAATAGTATCCAATACTACTACTAATGGCCCTATAATAAGCATATTATGTACATTATATATGTATATAGCTATTACTAGTAACAAGTTGTACTAAAACTTATTTTAATAACTATTAAAATAACTAACCCATATTTGGATATACAATAATGTACTCTGTTTTACATTGTGGACATGCTACATGTGCACCTGCACGTCCTTTCTGTTTTTCATCAACCCATCTTTGTATGCATCCTTGGTGAACCCATTTTGCTGTACCACGACAATTACATGGTTTTGCCCATGAAGCAGTTGCATCATCTTCATCTGTTGCAAAACATACCCAACAATATCTTTTGCTGTATTGGATGAAAATATTTAGTTAATAAATATATGTTAAAATTTATTCTTTTAGTTGAAAAATTATAACTTATGTTAATATACATACTCATCTTCTGAGTCTACTGCTGAAGTACCAAGTTCTGGTTGATTTAGAGAAGATGCTCCATCAGTCACATCACTTTGTTGCATACTTTCTAAAGGTCCTGGCAATGCAGTAGGTAATGGTTCTTCATCTGATACAACTGCTGGAGCTTGAGCATCAGATACTTCTTTAACAATATACATAAGTTAATATCTTATATTACTATTTTTGAGATAATTTAAAATAAACATATTTTGTAAAATAAATATTGTAAGTATCTATACTTCAACTCATGAAGTATTGACCTTACAACTCTCCTCATATTTATATTATAGTATTTTTCAAAATTACATGTAAATTACATATTACTAATAAGAAAAAAGCTATTAATACATATAAGATTATCTAAGAATTTTACCATTATTTAATTGATTAACTTGACTGTCTAGTCTTAGATTTGTTCGGAGTCTTCTTAATGTGTCTTCTATTCTTTGAAGATGTTCCATCCTACTATTAGGTCCAAATCGTATATGCGGCAAATTGTCTTCCGACATTTTGTCTTGATAAAATAAGATTTTCAATATTTCACCATTACGTCACACTTGAAAAAATAAGTAATATAAATTATAAACAAATATAATTTGTCACTTTATTCAGAAATTTAAATATATGCAAATATATAATGATATTTATGAAATAAAAACATAAATAAGATTATTAGTATTATCAATAACCAAATCACATTGGCACAACTTGTCATAAATTTCAAGGGCATTGAATAATGTTTTATATATATATATACGTGTGTATTTTTATTACATATCAGAATATGTTTTTTATTTAACACATTCACTGCTGATATTCATCACTTACATATACTATATGCTAATGAATAATTTTCATACAAAATATAATTTCTATATTGTAAAACTTTATGTATGTGCTTTACATGAATTATTATGAAAGTCCTTTTCAAAATTTCGTGATTTTTAATTTGCGTCTCGCAAATGTGACATAAATCCGAGTCGCACACATGGTAATGACCGACTCGGATCCGAAACGTCTGCAGTGAATGTGTTAAAAGACAATTACCTCTTTAGACATGTCTTTTTTAGTTAGTGCATCATTGCTACTTCTATCGTAAAATGACGAAACTAAATTTCAGAAATATGTAAAAAAGTATGCCCAAATTTTTCGTTTATTGTATTGAACGACATTGACCTTATCTCGTTAAAATACAATGTTAACGTATTATAAGACCATTTTGTTAACTAGTGACACGTCGTTATGAAGTTGATCGTCGACTGGTTAACACGTATCGTTGTAAACCAGAATGATGTATTGTAACAAACTTTATTTATCAGAAAATTATTTCTGATTGAACACAAGTTGCACAAGTTGCCACCGAAACACCGAATTAATGTCATATGTTAGCAATGTTGCAAATACGTTATTAAAATCAAAAGTATTAATTTCTACCTGAAACAACATTTATAAACAATTCACTGTTATACATTTACGACGAAGTAATAGGACTATAGACATTTGTTTAAAATACAGTATGAAACAAATACAACAACGGAAATGATTTGATTATGTAGAAAACTGTTAATATTTTGCAATTCTAAAAAAAAAATCGTACTTGTTGAAATTCACTTAACAAATAGATCTATTTCTTTTCTTACTATTATTGGCAACGATTAAAAGTTACATGAAATTGCTGCTTGTAGTCACAATATGTTAATGTAAAAATTCGCCAATGAAATGTACCGCCAAACTTCACACTAATATGAGAATGCTCTTCTCAATGGTTCTTTAATTTTCTCCCGAGTTTCCAAAAAATTTAATTATTTCAGTTACTGTTCATATGATAAAGTAAATATCTTCAAATGTTTAATTTATCTTCTTCTTTTCGTAATTTCGTTTCTATTCACAAGATGCGTAATTTATATCATTTTATTTCCAATTTTCAGCGCCATCTTCAAAATAATGCTATTGCAAAATTAGATAATTTAAAACTGTTATGATAAATGATCTACTTTATAAAATTATTTTAATTATCCATTCCTTAACTACGGTATTTTCATATTAACATTTT